AAAACTAACTCCAGATTCCTCATCCGAATTTTTCTCGCACCTCCAAATAGGGGTGCACCCTTTTGTGGTAGGAATTTTGAATTTTTTTTTCAAAATCAGATACGACATACCCGAAAACCTATTCAAAAACGGGCCACCCTAGGTGCCACCCATCTTTGTAACTCTTATTATAGTACCTACGGAATAATGTCCATTGCAAAATCATTGTGAGTTACTATGCGTGAAAAAGTTTGGCCCCCCATTCAGAATTGTTGTTTGGGTACATTTAACTAATTTTGAAAGGGGGGCCAAACTTTTCGCCCGTAACTTCTGGTTTTATGACGTCATCAAGTTGGAAGCTTCTGTGACACGGGGATATCGCCGTACTGGTCCGATTCCCTAACTACTGCTGCGATTCTTGTCATCTTAGGTTCTTTGGAAAGATAATAAAAAACGGAACATATTATATTAGAACACTTATTTACGTTAAAGATCACCGTTCCCAAGATATGGACAAAAAACGTACCACAAAAAAGTGGTTATTTGAGAGGCAATGTATGTGTTAATTAATTAAAATGTGATTACTTGTATTGGTCTATTTTTTTTTATATTTTTTTTTTCTTTTTTTTTGATACTTGTACGCTACAGAAGTGAATTTTTTTTGTCTTTTTAAATTTTATAACTTAGGATTCTCATTCGCCATCATAAATAAATGTATATATGTGTTGTGGGTAAAGTGTAAGAGCAGATATTTTAATCTGAACTTCGCCCATTCACTGCGGTTCATAAATTCGATTCTTCTTTTCTTTGTACATGTTTATATATTATTTTAGTTGTGATTTTTTTTAACGGAATGTGAATAAAGGCCATTATTATTATTATTATATTATTATTATTACCGAGCAGGCGACTTTCAAGTACATAATTGAAATTAGGGGAGGAATCGTTAAAGATATAGTAATCATTTATATGAAATGATATACAGTGTGTCCCAGATCGGGTGGGATTGCATGGGCAACTTTCTTATTACTAAAAATAGAGAATTGGTTAAATGGACAATGATTTGCAGTTTTAGATGCTTATTTAAAATTCGAATAGATTTTGTTTTGTTTTTTTTTAAAATTCATCATAGCCTACTTGATTAAAATATAAAAACCGGTGATATAACTGGTATCTTATTTTCAATCTCATGCTATGATAGCTCGTTGAAAAGAGAATTAAAAAATCTATCAAATAATCTAAAAATCCAATATAGCGCCTATTTAACTTTAGGAAGTTGGTAAATGTTCCTCAAAGGTAGCCATCTTGAATTTTTTTATATCAATTCTAAATTAGGCGTATTAAAGACAGTAACTTTTATATAAAACTTTTTTTTATATCTCTTATGCTTTCGATGATATAAGACATTCAAGGAAATGACCAATTTTAGTTTTTTTGAATTTACGTCGAACCTATTCGACATTTTGAAATTCCACAAGGAAATTTTAAATAAGCATCTAAAACTGCAAAACATTGCCCATTTAACCAATTCTCTATCTTTAATAATAACAAAGTTACCCATGCAATCCCACCCGATCTGGGTCACACTGTATAGTGCGTTTTCCACCCTTTTTAACGAGTCTAAAAACAAGGAGATTGGTTGAGAACTTCCCGAGATTATATTAAATTTATTATAATAAATAGGAAATAGTTGTGAGCTTTGGAACAGGAAACTGCTTGATGTGGAGAGACTGTTCAAGGCACTTGGACCACATCGAAGTATAATGGCTCTTCCTTTATGGGTTACAATAACAGGCTGTGACTCGACATCCTCAATGAGAGGCAGATCCAAGAGGGTGTGTTTTAATGCTTGGAACAAGTGTAAACAATTTGTTACTGAGAAAATGGCTGAACTTACCAGACGACCATTTATACAGCTTGAACTGGAAGGTGTTGATTTCAAAGCGTTGGAGTTGTTCCTCGTGAAAGTATACGGGGATGGAGGTCAATCAATAAACAAACTGAGGAAGCAAATATTCTGCCACAAAAACCAAAACTCAGAAATGCTGCCGATGACACAAAACGTGCAGTTTATCAAGCAAGCATTTGGGTTTGCGCAAATCAGTCAGAAATTAAGGCTCCGGATCCTTGTGAATATGGCTAGAGGAAGGAAGACGAAAGGCTTCTCCCCGTGTGGATGACGACCCCGCCGGTTAGTATAAAGTTTGTCGGGAAATGAGCAGCTGCGGTTGTAAAAGAACCTGTGCCAAAGCATGCAGCTGTAAAAAGAAGTCACTGTACTGTACGGACCTTTGCAAGTGCAACTGTACTCAAAAGTAGCGTGGAAATTATAGCGTACCTAATTACATCTAAGGTTCTTGTAATTAGACGCGTTAAAAAGGGTAGAAAATGTACTATATTTTATTTCAATAAATGATTACCTACTATATCTAACGATTCATCCACTAATTCCCAATAAGTACTTGAAATTCGCCTGCTCGGTACGGTTTTTGTCCATATCTGGGTAACGGTGATCTTTAACGTAAATAAGTGTTCTAATATAATATGTGTCCCAGAAGCTTCCAACTTGATGACGTCATAAAGCCGGAAGTTACGGGCGAAAAGTTTGGCCCCCTTCCAAAATTAGTTAAATGTACCCAAACAACAATTCTGAATGGGGGGCCCAACTTTTTCACGCATACTAACTCACTACTACCCATTCTTCCGTACTATTATGGTTGCTGAGAAAAAATTAAAGAAGAAATCAAAATTTCACCACTACTTTGGGGGTGGCTCCCAAATGAAATACGTTGCACCCTCGGTTTATTTGCAAAAAAAAAGTGCTTGTCGTGATCCTCTCTATCACTAATTTTTTTTACATGCGGTTATGTAACACCCTGTAAAGGGCGCTAGGAATGAAGATCAGTAACTTGTATAAGTTTAATACAGGGTGTTAGTGAATAAGTGCGACAAACTTTAAGGGGTAATTCTCCATGAAATACAGTTTACTATAAAAAAACCCGTGAAAAAAAACCCGGGATAAAACCCCCCGGAATAAAAACCCACGGAAAGAAAATCCCCCGGAAAAAAACCCTGGAATGAAAACCCCCTTTTTAAATCTCCACAATAGATAGGTATACATCTTAGGGCGATTGTACAAGGCAAGTATATACCTATAGTATAAGTTATTCCAAGTAAAAAATCTGAAAATTGGATTGAATTTTTAGATTTTATACTTGAAATTACGAAGCTCTGGATAGGACACATAGGAAATTATTTTGTAAATTACAGTTGTAACTGGGAATTAGTTTATAATTTACAGTTGTAATTGGGAATTATACTAATTTACAGTTGTAACTGGGAATTAATTTATAATTTACAGTTGTAATTGTCAATTACACTAATTTACAGTTGTAACTGGAAATTATACTAATTTACAGTTGTAACTGGGAATTATCCTTGACAGTTACAACGGTAAATTAGTTTAATTCCCAGTTACAACTGTAAATTAGTATAATTACCAGTTACAACTGTAAATTAGCATAATTCCCAGTTACAACTGTAACTCTTAGGTAAACGGGAGGAGAGTTTATTGAAATGCTCTTCAGAAAACGTTGAACCCTTAGAAAATTGAGAAATTACAAAATGCAGTGTGGCATCGCGTTTGCTTTTCCAATGATGCACAAACACACAGCATGAATTTTAACTCATGAACATTTGTACTAATAACTAAATAAAATGACACAATTAAATTTCGTATCTCGGGAATGAATGCTTTTCGGCGCCGTTATTCTAATGAAATTTGTGCATAAAAAATATCACTAACTTATAATTCACAATAAAACAGTGTTACGTGTAAATTACGCCAAATTATGTTCTCTTTTATTTATTTATCTATTATCCCTCTCTTGTTCTGGACCCTCAACAGGCTTGCGCCCAATTACAGAGTGATCCGCATAATGCTTTTTAGAGGCGCCTCTGCAGAAGGTCTTAAGTTGTTCTATACTCCTCCGGTATTTATCTTACGAATTAGGAAAACTTCAGGAAAACCTAATTCGGAGTAGCCGGCAGAATGCTCGAAGCTGATCTTAAGGTAATTCCCATCTCTGCCACAGATGAAAAATTCACCTCAACCCAGGTTCGAACACCCGACCTCCGGATTTAGTCCCAACGCTCTACCTCTGAACCATAAAGCCGGTAAGTTTTATGTAAGAATGTAAGAGCACACTCTACAATGTATACACAGTGTAAATAAAAAAAATAAATAAAAATAAAAATGTCAAAACTAGAACTAGTAACTACAAAATCACCCCCAAGCAATATTGTACCGAAGATATTTTTTCAAAATGCAAAGATTTAGGGAGGGTAAATATTGCAAAAGTGATTTCTCCAGTACGTTATTTGGAGCTCGTCCAAAAACGTTAATCGATGAAAAAACGCAATCGCCTTAATGAGAGGGCGAACTTGACCGCAAGCAAGGCCTCGTTTACCGAAATCGATGGCCTTTTTCAGATGGATCGCGTCTGGTGTTTTCGAATTTTGTCGACCCACATCCGAAATTAGACCCTATCGATTCCTCCTTTCGGCGAGAGCGCGAAACTAGTTCAACGGTGACGTTTACCGAAATTCGCGTCTGGAAGCAGACGTCCTGGCGCCCTTTCGGTAAAATCAAAAAAACAAGCTCAAAATCGATGGAGAAACTCGGTGACGTCCTCAACCCGATTACGTGTGTGCGTAGGTCGTAAACAAAAACAAAAATTTATTGCGTGCACCGCGTCAATTGTGTCGGAAGAGCGATTTGAGCAATTTTAATGGCGTGACATGGCGAGAGGCTTCCTAATGTATTATTATAAATAGCCACTTGAGCAAATTATTTTCTAATTTACACGTGTTGTAAAAAGCAGTTTCGCATACATTATAAAACGCGAACTGGTTTGCACCGGTTCCGTGAATACGTAACGTTCGCTTCCTCTACCTACAATTCGATTGCAGGACCGTACTAGGAATCTACATTTTTTGCCCCTAATTTGAAATGAACTCACGAAAGTGGAATGGAGGTTTCCGTCCGTCCGTCCGTCTGTGCACGTTGTCCCTAGCGGCTGCGGACTTTCGCCCGAAAGTTACTGATCGTAAATTTCTTTTCGAGGACCCTGCTAGCTTGGCATCAACTTGTCATGTCACGATCGATTTGGCAATATGTTTGGGTCCACTCGCCAGTTTATATTTAGGTTGTGGTGCATATGTACCTACCTGCAAAAAAAAACTATGGTTAGTATGCAAAATATTCTGACGCAAGTTGTTCAGTAACTCCACAATGTGAAAAATGGCTCATAAATCATGAGCTTTTCGATCGCAGGAATTACTACGCGTCTAATTCCCGATCGGCCTGCCAATGCCAAAAAGAATGAAGTGTCACAAATTACCTCGTGCTCAGATATGAATTTTTGTTTGGTGAGACTCTACGTTTAAAAATTAGAATGGGCTGAGTGACACATTCCAACGGCGCACTTCGGCAGATCATTAGCAAAGACTTCGTCAAATCGAATGTCAAAACAAAAGCACTGGTTTTACACAATGGAAATCCGCGAAACGAACTGCGGAATAATTTGATTCGTACACTTTTTATGCTGGAAAAAGGATATGATGGATATCCGAAATTTAAAAACCCATATAAGTAGGTACATCGATTCAAAAAACACCAAAAGAGAAGTGAAAATTCATGGTAACTCACAAAAAATCAATGTTATACGAAATATCTTTCTTCTTCTGGGGGGTATTCCATACCTCCCAGACCACCCGGATATTCAACGATATATTTAGTGCGTGTATCATAATATTGAAGATTGTCCTTTACGGAAAACTATAACAGAGTCCTTAGGGTTGAACATTTTAAAGAAGAATGGAGAACCGGGGAGTCTGGGGAGTGTGGAATACTCCCCAGCAATAACTCCACCTCGCCCCGCCGAAACGCCCTTAGATCTGATGATACGTGAAAGGAAATGAACAATGAATCTAAACGGAAAAACACACGGTCTGATTGAATATGAAAACGATCTTGTGTAGGTAGGTACTCATCCTCGTGTTCTTCCGTTTCTTGATTAACGCCAATAAGATCGAATTGGAGAGTTTCCATGGAAATTTAAATAATTCTGCAAGGCAAGTTATATAAGAGCAATCATGAAAAGAGTATGTGGGACAATAATTTAAAAGAATAGCGAACGACTTTTGGCCAAACTTAATTGACGAAGCTCCGACCGCTGTTGGCTCGCATTTCGCCCCACATCTAATTGAGCTTAATTGAGAACGCGCATATAAACTATCAATAAATTAAAGTCAATATTTAGATGGAAAATTTTTTCATTCGCTGTACATAAATAAACAGCAATGCGTTAATTGAGCAAATGCGAAGGTATCCATTATGCGAGCTCACCTTCGAAATTTTGGCGCGCCTTCCGCTGAACGTCACCGACCGCTTATGGCCCACATGTGGTCTAATTTGACACAATGTTACTAATGGAAGTACATTAGTGCGTAAACACATTGTAACAAAACAAAAAAGTTGGAGTAGTGAGAGAGTTGTGAGTGGTGTTTTACATTCCAAAAAGATTGAAGAAATCTAAAAAATCTTATAAAAAACCTAAAAAAAAATTGGGCAAGCTTAAGCATAGGGAAAATTATTATTAAAGGGCGATTTAAGGGTTGTTTATACATTATTTAAACATAATCTGTCAAAGAAATAAAAATTTTCAGTGTAGGTATTACGTAAGTTACAACCCCCGCAAGCTAAGTACGCTGTATGTGCTAGTTTGAATTTCTAAAAAAATTGGGCAAGCTTAGAGCAGACGGAAATTTATTATTAAAGGGCAGTTTAAGGGTTGTTTATACATTATTTAAACTTATTCTGTCAAAGAAATAAAAATGTTCGGTGTATTACGAAAGTTACAACCCCTCGCGAACTAAGTACGCTGTATGTGCTATTTTAATTACTTAAGAAATTTCGCAAGCTTAGAACAGAAGGAAATTTATTATTAAATGGATGTTTATGGGTTGTTTATAGATTATTTAAACATAATTGTGAAATAAATAAAAATGTTCGAGGTATTACGAAAGTTACAACCCCCGCAAGCTAAGTACGCTGTATGTGACATTTTGAATTACTAAAAAAATTTGGCAAGCTTAGAGCATAAGGAAATTTATTATTAAAGGGATGTTTATGGGTTGTTTATACATTATTTAAACATAATTTGTCAAATAAATAAAAATGTTCGGTGTGTTACTAAAGTTACAACTCCCGCAATCTAAGAACTCTGTATGTGCTAGCTTGAATTACTTAAAAAATTACGCAAGCTTAGAGCAGAAGGAAATTTATTATCAAGGGCTGTTTAAGGGTTGTTTATACATTATTTAAACATAATCTGTCAATGAAATAAAAATGTTCGGTGTGTTACTAAAGTTACAACCCCCGCAATCTAAGTATACGCTGTATGTGCTGTTTTAAATTACTTAAAAAATTGAGCAAGCTTAGAACAGAAGGAAATTTATTATTAAAGGGCTGTTTAAGGGTTGTTAATACATTATTTAAACATAATATGTCAAAGAAATAAAAATGTTCGGTGTGTTACTAAAGTTACAACCCCCGCAAGCTAAGTACGCTGTATGTGCTATTTTAAATTACTTAAGAAATGTTGCAAGCTTACAGCAGAAGGAAATTTTTTATTAAAGGGTTGTTTAAGGGTTGTTTATAGATTACTTAAACATAATTTGTGGAAGAAATAAAAATGTTCGGGGTATTACGAAAGTTACAACCCCCGCAATCTAAGTACCCTGTATATGCTAGTTTGAATGTCTAAAAAAATTGGGCAAGCTTAGAGCAGACTGAAATTTATTATTAAAGGGCAGTTTCAGGGTTGTTTATACATTATTTAGACATAATCTGTCAAAGAAATAAAAATGTTCGGTGTATTACGAAAGTTACAACCCCCGCAAACTAAATGCGCTGTATGTGCTAGTTTGAATTACTTAAAAAATGTTTCAAACAAAGAGCAGAAGGAAATTTATTATTAAAGGGCTGTTTAAGGGATGTTTATACATTATTTAAACATAATCTGTCAATGAAATAAATGTTCGGTGTGTTACTAAAGTTACAACCCCCGCAATCTAAGTATACGCTGTATGTGCTGTTTTAAATTACTTAAAAAATTGAGCAAGCTTAGAGCAAACGGAAATTAATTATTAAAAGGCAGTTTAAGGGTTGTTTATACATTAGTTAAACAATCTGTCAAAGAAATAAAAATGTGTCGGGGTATTACTGAAGTTACAACCCCCGCAAGCTAAGTACGCTGATGTGCTATTTTAAATAACTTAAAAAATTTTGCAAGCTTAGAGGAGAAGGAAATTTATTATTAAACGGCTGTTTAAGGGTTGTTTATACATTATTTAAACATAATTTGTCAAAGGAATAAAAATGTTCGGTGTATTACAAGTTACAATTCCCGAAAGCTAAGTACGCCGAGAAGTAGGCTGAATGTGCTAGATTGAATTTCTAAAAAAAATTGGGCAAGCTTAAAGCAGACGAAAATTTATTATTAAAAGGCAGTTTAAATGTTGTTTATCCATTATTTAAACATAATCTGTCAAAGAAATAAAAATGTTCGATGTATTACGAAAGTTACAACCCCCGCAAGCTAAAGTACGCTGTATGTGCTATTTTAAATTACTTAAAAAATTTCGCAAGCTTATAGCAGAAGGAAATTTATTAATAAAGGGCTGTTTAAGGGTTGTTTATACATTATTTGAACATAATCTGTCAAAGAAATAAAAATGTTCGGTGTTTTACGAAAGTTACAACCCCCACAATCTAAGTACGCTTTATGTACTGTTTTAAATACTTGAAATATATCGCAAGCTTAAAGCAGACGGAATCTATATGTAAAGAGCAGTTTAAGGGTTGTTTATACATTATTTAAACATAATCTGCCAAAGAAATAACAATGTTCGGTGTATTACGAAAGTTACAACCTCCGCAAACTAAGTACGCTCTACGCTGTATGTGCTATTTTAAATTACTTATAGGATTTCGCAAGCTTAGAGCAGAATGAAATTATTATTAAAGGGCTGTTTAAGGGTTGTTTATACATTATTTAAACATAATCTGTCAAAGAAATAAAAAAAAGAATGCCTGCAAGCGAGCCTGCAAGACATCAATTTTTCCTTGATAAAAGTGGGAAGGTCCTTTAAAATCATCATCGTTCCTTAGTAGGTGCAATCCACTCCATAAAAGGGTGCCTATTGCTTTAGTTATTTTTGGTTTTCGGCCCAAATTGCAGATACAAGTCACACTGACCTAATTGGACACCGACGTCGCAAGAATCTGAATCAAACAAAATCGGATGGTCAATGATCTAAACCCACAAGGCCAATCCCAAGTTCACTTTTTCCCCCCTTTAACTGTCAAGGTCATTCCCCATTATTTGATCATCTCGATCTCCAGCTTATTGTACAATTCCCCAAATATTTATCTAGGATACACGCGCGCGACAAAATTTGATCCTCCGCCAAACGGATTCATCTCTTTGCAGGAAAAGAAGCGCTCCTCTTTCAGTTCAGCGAGTACGACGATAGTGAAATTAACATAAAATTTTCCGTGGCCGTTACGAACTGCTTGCATAATTAATAACTCTTTTTTATCACTCGGCAAGGTCGCGAAGGTTAAGCGCAAAATTTACCTGCGAGCCCAACAGTGACATTTCCATTTTTCCGGCAGTTTTCCACTCACTCAAAAACCGTTTCGGATTATAACTTTGTGCAAGCGCGATCGCAATAATTGCTGTTATTAGACTGATGCATAGCGAATAGTAAATAGATTGTCTATACAAAACTTTGTCAACCGGCCAAATAGAATAATAACGTCATGTTGTTTTAAGTCTATTTTAAGACCGAAATGGAATCAATTTCGCACGATCTGTGATGTATATCGGCCATATACTGCATGTTATTTACTTATTTAACGTTTGGGAGTTATGTAATATTATGTAAACGTGGCGACACTCTGTATATTACCTTTGCGCGAGTTTATAATGGTCGTTTTCGCGCTTACGCGTCATTACGTTTTAACTTGCATCGTAAATTTTTATTTCAATCGCTTTGGGCTTCTTTTGAAATCTGCTTTAACGTTTTTACCTGAAACACAGACGCCTAGGGGCGCCGACTTAATGCGCGCTCAAGCAGTCAAGCCCCACGTTAAGGGAAGT